CCAAACAGTCTTCTTCCAGATTTACATTTTAACCTGTCTTACAGATTTACAGTACATCCAAAATTCCTTTTGAAAAACAAAAAACAATGGCTTTGTTGTAAGGCACTTACATTTATGAATATCAAATGTACCCAAAATGAAAATATTATTCAGTACAACTTGAGTATGTACATCTTCCATTATTGGACCAAAAATTTTATCATTTTTAGAAAATTGAGAAGACAGCTTCATTGAAACTTTAAGCCACTCAAAGGTATCAGACCAAAAGGCTCTACTGAATGAACAGTCAAAGAATAAATGTACAGTCGTTTCAATATCAACATCACAAAAGGTACAATTATTGTGATCAATATTAAATCTATATCTAAGAATCTCTAAAGATGGGTAGATATCATTAAAAATGTTAAATGTACTTCCTTGGCTTTGGGGGTATGGGAAAGGAGAGACACATGGTTCTTAATTTAAAAATAGAGCTCTTGGGAAAAAGATAATTCACGTTATTTCAACTAGCTTGATTTGGAAATGTATCTTGGGTCAGTAAAGTCCTTATTAATTTATTTGGCAGGCTACTCCTAATAAAATCTTGCCCATTTATCAAAGAAGGTAAATGAAGAGCTTCTGTTACGTTGGGCACCGTATTTCTAACCAACAGTACAAAGGCCCTTGGAATACAGTTCAATACCCTATTATATTGCTTGTAATCATAATGGGTATTATATTTTTCACAAAAAGTACTGAGATCCATAAAATAACCATCTTTCCCTAGCAGGTGAACAACAGACCAGACACCTCTCTTCCACCAATCTCTGATAAAGAGTGACTTCTTTCTAAATAAAATGTACCTATTATTCCAAATTGGCGAATTATTATGTTTATTATTCCGGGGGGAAATTATGTTTATAAATCAACTTCCAATATAAAAGAACCTGCTTATGATATTCTGATAATTTGAGAGGAAGTTTTTGTATTGAAAAATCACAGCGCAATAAGAAATCTATTCCACCAACACTACCAAGGATATTTCTAGGGGCGCAGAACCAGACACTGGTTCTGTCATTATTTATAAGAAAATGTTTAAGCCAATTTATCTTGAAAGTTCCATACAGTCAAAGTCTATGGCCTGCAAGCCCCCTTCTTTGTAATCCTTCACCCTTTTTTAATATAATGAGCTTTTCTCTTCCATATGTAATTAAAATTCATCTGATTAATTAACTTAATTTTCTTATTAGAAATGGGAAGGGATCCTGCAGGATAAATGCATCTAGACAGAGATTCCACTTTTGTCAATAAAATTCTTCCAAATATAGAAATTTCTCTCTGCATCCATCTGTCCAATCTGGCCTTACATTCATCAATTCTATTAGATATATTAGTGATTCACTTAGTTCGTTATCTTTAGTAAGTAGAATACCAAGATATTTGATCCTAGATTTAACTGGTACATTGCAAGTTTGTGTGAGCTGAAATTCTTTCAATGTCATTATTTCACATTTACTTAAATTAGGACATAAGCCCGAGGCATTAGAAAAATTATTAATAATTTGGAGAGTTTTTGGAACCTGATCAGTATTCTTACTGTATTCAGATGCTCAAGGAGACCGAGACGCGCTAAAGCAGCGCATTCTGTTGTTCTCTATATCTGTCGTAAAATAATCCTATGCATCTCGTGGCGTATATTCCAAGCATTCTGAAGGTATACTGAGGGTTTGATGAGAAACAAACCGAAATGGCAAGCTATTATATTTTATGAAAATCTTGCGTTGCAGTGCGAGTGCGCAGCAGCTCACGCCGCGCACAAGTGCATTTCCTTTTGAGATATCAATTATAATCAATTTTAATAAAACACAAGACTACATTATATAACTCTAACAGTAGGCTATTTAATATCTGTTGTTCTCCGGTTGTCAGTCAGAATGACAGTTCTTGCGTGAACATAGGCCTATATGCCAAGCCAATTCATTATTCTTTCCTTTTTGTCTTAGTGTTTAAAATTTATTTTGAAACAAATTAATTAATTTCTTAATTAAACAAACAAACAGACTTACTGGGTGAGCAGGGTAGGCTATGACAGCTGTCATATCATACCCTGCCATGCCCAGCTGATGCAAATAATAGAATTTATATCTACACAGAAGAAAGCCCTGTCTAGACTCTGCCCAGGTATGAGTTGTGTCGAGCTATTCATTAGCCTGTTTGTTTGATGAAAAAAGACTAAATGTAGTTGCAATAAATGCGTTAAGAATCCATACAACTGCAGCAGTGGAGGACTATTATTCTGCTGCGTGATACTGCAGAAGAACTGATGATGGCACTGGTTGATCTTCAGCTGACCAATCAGCAGAAAGGGGCGTTTAATTCCCGCCCACGTGTAGAAATCGAATATTCAAGCTGTTTATTCATTTTTCCACCAAAGAACGAAAAACGAAAATTTAAGCTGAATTCTCGTTTTTCGTGTTTTGGAAAAAAACGAAAATACGAAAAAGGAGCCGTTTTCTCATTTTTCTACTTTCAATATTAAATCAAAAAACGAATGATCGAATGATACACGGATTCACAAATCTCTTTAAACTCCAAACTGATTTGTGGAATAAATGGCTTAATACTATCAAAAAAAGCATCTGCATTAATTTTAGAAAATGCCGACTTATATAAGTTACTATAAAAGAGAAAGATTTTTTTGTGCAATATCATTAGCGTTGGAAGATTCACTGCCATCAATAATTAAAGATCGTATATTATTTTTCTCCTGCCTGCTTTTTTCCGATCTGCAGAAGTACGCTGAATTTCTCTCCCCTTCTTCTATCCACTTGACCCTTGAACGGATGTAAGCACCTTTCGCCTTTTCAACATAGATTTTATCAAGTTTGGATTGTAAGAATAAAAGCTTTGCTCTATCTGAATCATCAGACTGACTATTACTGCAACATTCACTTATCTCTCTAATAAGATTAACAACTTCTTCTAAATGGGTCGATTTTTTTAGCTGTTTACCAAAGGAAATAGAATAATTACGAACTCTAAATTTCAAATATTCCCATTTACTAATATTCGAGGAAAGTGAAGAATCTTCACTCACTTCTGCAATAATATTTTTAACTCCTTGGCAAAAGGCCTCCGAATTAAGAAGATTGGTGTTAAATTTCCAATATCCCTTATTACATTTTGCTATAAGTTTGATTGCATCATATAATAATTGCTGTTAATAGTGTTCATCGTCTGTTTTATTATGTCTTAAATAGATTTTAGCCTGTACCCCATTCCGAGTCTCTGTGTTTGCCTTGTTTTGCGGTTTCTGATCTTTGCCTGTTTTCCTGGATTTCTCCCTCTCGTCTTGCCCCTGTGATTCTGTCTGCCGATCGGTGACCTACGCTAGCCCTAGGACTATTCTTGTGTTTTTGCCCGCCATATACCTGTTTGCCATTGTTTGACCCTGCCTGTTATACCACGTCTCTTTAATAAAAGCTTGCAGATGGATCCACACGTCTCACGTCTCGTCAGCCCTAGTTACAGAATACTCAGCACAACAAGGATCCAGCGGCTTTTCCAGAGGACTCTGGCTAGGTATGGACCCAGTCACCCAGCTACTACATCTTCGGCAAGGAGGCCTTTCTATTGAGGAGTATGTTCACCGGTTCTGTGTGCTATCTTATCAAGTTCCTCTGTATGATGAAGTTTTGTTTAAAGACTTGTTCCATTTTGGACTGGATGAACCCACAAACTCTTGGTTACCTGGAGAGGAATATAACTGTAGTTTAAGGGATCTTATGGATTATGCTTTGTTGTCTGTTGGCTCTTTGTTTACTGTGGGTGTCGCAGAGGAAGAACGTGACACAATGTCTGTGACTGAAGTGATGGCTGTACCAGAGCACGCTCACAAAATGGCGGCG